GAGTATTTAGAATTAGAATCAAAAGACCAAGAAGCCCCGGTATCCGAAATTAAATCTAAAAAGGATCTAAATAGCAGTGAGCAAGCTGTAGTACAAGCTTTGACGGATGTACTTACCAACGATGAATAAATTTCAATAAAACGCACTCTTATAAAATTCTCAATATGATAACTATAAATCGACTCATCAATTTCTATTCATCCTTTACTCAAGTATAATATTCCCTCTTTTATTGTAACTCCGTTTCTTTATTTTTCAGTCTAATTAATATTTTACATCTTATATTATCTAATTAATATTTTACATTTTACATATTATACCTTCTATCTAATAATTCAATCATTACAAGGTATTAACTATTAATTAGCGCCTTTATAATCAAGTTACAAGATTTTATTCTTTTTATATTGAAAGCGCAGCATAAAATCACATCACTATTACACGCATTTGCAACACGAATAAATTACTTCCTCTCGATGCACGGTTCTCTACCAGCCCAGGCTATTGTCGATGTATGCAGGCAGGCCTAAAACAAAAACGAGAACATAACGTTTTTTGTGTCTGAGCGGTCGCGAAGGACGTTACAGTGTATTATATTTCCCATTATAAGGTACAAATATGATATAATGATGCTAAAGACGAGTCGATGTTTTACAATTATCAAGTCGTCGCTAAGTTTAAGATAATCTAAGAGTACATTGCTGGTGATGGGCGTAGTGGAAAAGTGCCCTTACTATCTAGATACATAATATAGGTATGCAAGAGTTAAAATATAGTAAAAGATTCTTAATTCTCATCATCGAGAAGAGTTGTATTTATACCGCCTGTTTCGCTTGGCAGCATCGTTAATTCTATAACTCCATTATTTCTGTGGTTAAAGATTAAGGAATTAATGTTAATGGGATCTATCCCTATCTGGCTTCTTAAAAGCGAAATTAAACTTATGTATGTCGAGTAACATGTAAAACAATATTTTATTGGCTGATTTCGAGCCGTGTTAGCACCACATCTGATACATGGCATATCTAAGTGTATGTTTGCTATAAGGCCGTGCCATTCGGCTATTACGAATTCAGGAGGGTAATCTAAGTCAAAAAGACAATTGGGGCACAGAGCCTCATCAGATTCGCGTTCAGCGATGTATCCTATAGCGAGTGAACAGTAAGTAGAGTCGAGACCCGGAAATTCCTTGATAATAGGGTGTTTATAAGCTACTGGGGGTCTTGGTCGGCACATTCTGAAAGGTTAATTTTGATGACCTTGTTAGTAAAATGGCTATATATTATAGAGGTTAGTGTATCTGTTTTATAACCACCTTCCTTGAGTTTATCTAGAGTGCGCTTGTATTTATGGAAACATGGGAGGCAGTATATGATTGGGTCTATCATTGTGAGATTATGATGACAAATTGAGCAATGTACTTGCTCCAATGGGCCTAGAGAAAAACC